ATCTTCCTTTTAGAGTTTTCCGTAGGGCAGTTCCAATCTGGGAGTCCGTTTCGGATATAGAGTTAGGGGGAAGGTACAGGGCTATAAAGCAAGTATCTCTGTCTCTAAACTTCAGGCGGCACCAAACCGAAGCAGGAATCAGTGAATCAGAATCCTCCATGACCTCGCACTGAAAATGGCTTCGGTAATACAGAATTGCTCCTCCTCCTTTTGTCAGTCAGTGGCTCCGAATGAGTGACATGCCAGGTAGCGAAATTTCAGCGTCTGACATTTCAGTGTTTAACCACCTCTCCATGCTGCCGATGATATCATATTTCCGGGAAATTCGACGATCTTTCAGTTCAGCCAGCTTATTGAAGAGGCCCTGAGCATTCTTGTACAAGCTTGCGACTTTATCGGCCTCTGGTAGACCACAGGGGGTCAATGAACTTAGATGTATGGCTGTGCCGACCGACGTAAGTTAGGATTTTATCCTTGTTATTAAGATACTAATACTACTTCAGTGCGTTGCTTTGGCCATGGCGCGTCCCTGCCCTCATTTAGACCTATCAGTATCGACTAAAGGAGCGATTTTCACCGGTGTGTCTGCTTTTTGAGATGATTTCGTAACTGGACGTTGCGAAGCAACTGTAATCCTTAACCGAAGTTCCGAAGGAAGACTTCTTAGACTTTTGCGCCAATCATGTAACCTATCCTTCGCAGCTTGCTGGGATTGAACCACAAGTTTTAGGATTCTTGGGCCGCATCCTCTCTAATTTGGCTGGAGAGATAACCTTTGGAGTGATCGTGCCACAACATTATCCAGGGAATGGGTTTCGCAGATGAATCACCATTGTTCTAACTCGTAATTTCCGGCCACTTGATTATCATGTGAAGGAACCTCTGACATACCATGGATAAAGCTATTGTTTAAGCCATCAGGTTTTCTGTGTCCTTCTTCGGAGTTTCTTTTCGACTGTCGATTGTTCCACGGAACATCAGGATAGATACGTATACCACACGGTCCATGTTGCAGCACGTTTGGGAAGAGCAGGTTTTCCACGTCACATTTGCTCGCACTGGCCATTGTCGCTTCGGTATAGGTTAAACTGTTTCCCTCACAATGAAATGCGGATGCATGGTAACACACCATCGCAGTAGTTTGACATGCTGTCTAACCCGAGTCCCAAGTAGCTACTGAATTAGATTTAATGTGGTTTTGGCTCATAATTCTACCAGGTTTCATCGAGTTAATGTACATCCGGTCGTCGAGAGGCAGCGGAGTAGCTCAAATCGTCACCATTTTTCCTCTGGGTGCAAACACTGATCTGTGCTACGCTCAGGCCGCAGCAGGAACCACCGCGTGCGCATGAAGCGTTATCGACCTATTTATCCAGATTCGACTAAACAGAGTAACTAGACGCAAAGTTATAATGTGCACATTTATTTCCCCACCAGCAGCGACCAGCTTCAGTTCAATGTTAGCAAAGGTGGGTATTTCCCGGACCATCGGATCCATAACTGACCGAATCTGGATCTTCAAACTTCTTAACCTACTGGGGTGAGGTGGTTTCCTACTCAACTAGATTCATCAGCAAAGTGACTCGCACGGGCCGAGTTCCCTCATCATATAGATTTCCAAGACTGATGGATTGCTTCACCCTCAACGCCTGTTCACCAACGTTGAGGAGTCCCTCCAACAGATTGTGCTAACACTTGAGGTCGTGATCATAGCGAGCCTCATTACGCGACTCATGAGATCTGATCGCTGGCCGTTTTACTCTCTTTCATCCTTCTTTACTTTTTCCACTGACCTTCATCACCCAGACTAGCGCACGTTGGGATGCAGAAGAGTTACACCGGTTGTGTCTCCCGTAACGAATGGACATCATTCCAGAGAGATTGCAGCCAAGCGACAATACGGCTCGTTCGAACATATCGGTGTCTGCATGTCTTTTTGTCCAAATGGACCCACAGAGCTTGACAAGCCATCGTTGGCAGTCTGCTTGAAACTAAGCTAGAGCAGAACTAAGCAAACCGAATCCCTACCCGTGGCGGTCATTAGTACACACGGGCGCTGTCTAACTCTTCTTACTGCTTAAGTGTATGCTGCCCACAAACAACACATTGCAAAAAGGTCTGCCGCCTGTCTCAGTTGTGTTACAGGAAGCAGCGCGATTCGGCGTTACCTTGTGATAGAACGGTACATTTTGTGTTCGGATTGAGTTCCCATGAATAGATGCTATGATTGCAACTCCCTGCTGTTGTGCATAGTTCCATTTATAATCGCCACGATAGGTCAACCAATCCATGTGTGCACAATAGCCTAATGTCCGTAAGTCCACGTATATCCGCGTGAACGGAAAACACGATAGATGGTTAGCGCTTATTACTCCGCACTTCCGTGAACGTCTATGCACAGAGGAATTCTTGCTTATACTACTCGACTTACTCAGGGCCTAGTGGAATCACCTTTGTCCAAGAAAAAGCGCTGGTGACGCTTGCCTGTTTTTGCTCAACTTCCTTGCACTCTCTTGTTACAACGGAGTATATCCTACTCAACGATAGACATCTGTTGTTTTCACGTGACGTGAAAATGGAGCCACTCAGGAGCTTAAAAACTTTCGCCCCATCTGTCACACACCCACCGTATATAGAGTAATGGAAATATCAGTGACAGATGAACTACTTGTCTTCTTTAACAAGGCCAACATCATCAGCAAGTCGCACCATGGTTTTATGCTAGGTTGATCATAAGAAACATGTCAGACAGACTTGTTAAACCACATCACGGCTGCCATCGACAACGGAAACTGTTATTATGTTGATCCTGGACATGTAAGAAACTTTTGATAGACTGCCTCATCAAGCAACATTCAAAACGTTAGGAGCAATAGACCTCGGAGAGCCAAATTTTTCGTGCTTGTCCTCATATCAAGTTGATAGACAGAAAATGCTGCGCATAGATGACCATTTCACTGAACCGTAAGCAATTACCAGTTGAGTAATTCAAAGGAGTGTTCTTGGTCCACCTTTGTTTTCTTATATATTAACGATGCATTTCAAAGAATGAGGTATGCTGCTATTTTTCTGTTTGCTACTGATATTAAAGTTGTCTACTCACGTGAACTTGCAAATACCCAGGCCACCGTACGCCTCATTCAGGGTAACCTCTCTTCATTTGGGTCTTGGTGCCAACTGTGCCAGATGTCATTTGCCATGGACAAGTATAATATTCTGTCGTACAAATACCGAGTACCTCCAAACAGTCTATTACTACGAGGCACAAACGTCTCGCAATGTAGGGCAGGTCACGACTTGGGTGTGCAATATTCAGTTACCTTCATCTTTTCTGAACATTGTGGTTTCACGTTTCCAACACCATGAAGAACATCGAATATGTATGCTATCATTTTTATCTCACGGAGTACACCACATCGGTGCAATCGAATCTGCAAAAATCCGACCAGTATGCTCTCGTGGGTTCATCGATACTTTACGAAAAAGCAATGAGGCTATTCCTCAAGGACGATATACAGAGAGCGTTGCGAGGACCTTGGGTTTCACCCAGTCTGGCGTCGGAGAATGACGCCGAAGCTGTGTTTTATTTACAGGAGCATAATCCACAAATTGCAATGTTCTGTTAACGGCGTTCACATGTCTGTTAACACTAGATACCCGAGTTGCAAAAAAAGATAATGGTCACGATTCTAAAATTTCTATGAGAATCAGGGAAAGCTCTATTCTAGTTCACTGCCCAAAGTTTCGGAACAAACTTCTTATAGATATCAGAACGTGCTTTACACTGCGTAAATGTTAGCTTCCGAATAATGGGCAGTTAACTGTCCAAAAGTCAAGCACTATGTTTGGAACACCACAATCCTTGGAGAACGCTTTCGAAAACTTTATCATTGGTGTCAGACTAAAATAGGAAAATACATGTAACTAACTTTTTGGACCACAGCCCCGTTCCTTCTATTTCACATTTGATTCTACTTTTATTTCCCTACCCGAACATCTGTTATGTGTTTGTAAAGAACCCTGGTTCAATGACAAGTAGCAAAATGTCAGCAAAACAATTCGGACAATTCTGTGTGACCTAAACTTGCAGCTTGTGCTCATATTTAAACTATCACTTATGCAGTAGTATGGAGATGACATAACAAACCTTGATCTGTTCCTTCTAGGGAACAGCTTGATGGGTATCGAAGGAGGCCGCTATTTAGTGATATTTCTAAGTTGAGTCCACTGCACTAGGATATCGCAGTTCCAACCTTTCATTGCACTGGAACTCTCTAGTGGCACCCGTCCACATTCCCTAGCTTTAAGGTCCGCTAAAATTCCTTGCTTTGTCACCTAGGCGTGTCCCAATCTAGATGGTAGTTGTTGAATTCCCGAACAAGCCGAGTACGCTCACAAGGTCAGACGTCCAACAGTAAGCTCTATGACATAATAAGAGAAAACCAAAGAATCAGGCACGCACATGCAGAGGAGATCTTGACTTCTTCTTCAGTCCAAGGAGATATACTACTATGCCTTTACTTACCCACATATTCAAACGATACCGCGTTGCAAGCAATTAATGCAGTGAAGAGACGTACAAGGTTAATATGAGCGGCATCTTATAAAACAGTGTTATTGAGTTTCGAGTGACAGCATTTTTGGTGAAATCTAGGCAACCCAGCAGATCCGCGGTGCATGTTTCTGATTAGGTCGCAGCAGTGAGTGCAACATCAACGTCTATTTATCTGATTTTCTGATCCGACGCAGAGGCTGTTTGCGTATGGTTGTTTAACCAGTTGCTCGACACACTAACCCGTGAATCAATAACGCTTTCCCTTGACCGAATCTCTTTTCTGAGCATAAACCATAGATTTTTCTTCTCCTGACAGCTGGAATGCGTGTATTATGGAGCCTGTAGGATCCTTCCTCTTTCTATGCGTTGCCGATATGCTTTGCAGTATGGATTTCAATTGGCACTCCTGGAGTTTTATCCATGGATTTCATCTTCCGCTTAACAGGTTCATCGAGAATCAGGAAGCTCCTGTTTGCCCAATGTGTTCTGCGGAATTGCGACGGGACGACATTCACCGAATTATTGATCCTAGTCAACTGCTCAACGCATGGATTTTGGCAACGGAAGATTCAACGAATGAGGTGGATACGAGCGGATGCAAATAGTTCGCTATTATCTCTGGTCCTTGATAGGCCTATCATTGTTTAATGATATGTCACGTTTCCCGTGTTTTATTCGGTTAGATAAAAATCCTCCGTAATGTTATTGCTTTTTGTTATTATGCAAGCTGCCTAGTATGGCTCACATAGCCACTCGATCAACAACCATCGATTTTCCCCAGTACAAGGGTAAGATCGTAGTTTAGGTCGAACCTACTTGCACTACTGCCCATAGTGTGGAAATATCAAGTACTTCTCTTAGGTGCATACTACGCGACGGTCATCGACCGCCAAACTTGGGTCAGTTCCTCGGGTTGTAGGTTTCGATCTTGCGACGAGCACTCATCGACTGTTTAAATGTAGATTGTATGCACTCGCCGATCGATGGTTGAACCGTTGGAGGAAACGCGTGCTGAAAGTACGATGGTCTCTTAGCAATCCTTTCATAGGAACACCAATGTCTATGTGGCATAATTACTAAACCAGTACCCACGGTTCATCATATTAATGACTTGTTAAATTCGTATCTGCTATGACACCAATGTACTAGTACCAATCACGCATGCTGATTCCAGCATACCATAGGGATGTCCGTTTCTTTGACGTTTAACCGTCGCAGGAGACTACACAAAGTGAGCTGATCGGATTACAGGAAGACTACAGCTGAAACACACCAAACAGGATTAGCATACCACGCACTTATTCCCTAGTAGAGCTCATGAGACGGTGACGACTGTTGTGCCGCACGCTGTAGCCTTTCGATCTCAGCGAGGTATCTTGGCCGCCGCAGAGGATACTAAACGGCGCCCTATTTGCTGCATCGAGCAGGGTGAATAGGCATTTGGATGCTACTGCTCATGCCTTCCCGCTTTCTTACGCCTCCTCTCGCGTTTTCCGTTCTTAGCGTCCCGCTCCAACTTCACTTTCATTCCCCATTGTTTTCAATCCCCAATTCTTGGCCCTCCCCCACCTTGTTTAAATAGCCACTTGTCTCCTAGTTTCAACTCACACACAATGGCAGGGCGTCGCTGCAGTCCATTCGACAAGTGCATGTTCAACCAAGCGGACAACGTCAGTTCATCCGTTTCACTTTGGAGTTCTCGATCCTCGCTAAAACTGGCATGCTTCAACGTGCGCACATTGCTACAGATTGACCAACAAGTAGCACTTGGCCGAACCTTCGAGATCCTATCGATCGACGTTTGTTGTTTTTTTCGGAAACCTGTCTGCAAGACTAGAATTCTGTGCTTACTCTGCGATCCTCCACATGCGGCACTGGTGGCACATTCTCATTGCACATGTTTTGCTATGACGCAGATTCAAATGCAGGTCCAACTGGCGTTGGCATTGTTTTGCGTCTCTGGGCTGAATCTGCCCTGATCGACCGGATCCCAGTCAACAGCCGGATGTGCGTTGTTAGGTTGGCTGACTCGTTCCACGCTTCGAAGTCGCACTGGAACAAACGGTGCCTGCTTGTCACTGCGGCTTACCTCCCCACAAAGTGCAGCCCTGATTCGGTGAAGGGTGATTTCTATCAGCAACTGAACGATCTCCTTCGTCAAGGAAGAAGCACGGATACTGTGGTGCTTGCTGGTGATCTAAACGCCCAAGTCGGTCAATTGTTCTCTGAGGAGCTTCATCTGAGCGGCCAACAACGTGTAGACCAGTAATGATAACGGTGAGCGGTTGCTACACCTATGTGAAGAGGCCCGTCTCTTTCTCGCGAGCACTAACTTCCGACAAAGCACCCGCAGAAGAGTGACATTGCGTCCACCAGTTTCGGATGAGCCATGGACGCAAATCGACCACATTGCAATTAGTTACCGCTGCAGTGGCTGTGTCCAAAACTGTTGCTCGATTTGGAACGTCAGTGTGGACTCCGATCACGCATATTTGTGTGTCCTGACCTTCGGTTGCGTTTAGGCGGACGTCCGCAACGTCGCTCTGAGCGCATTGACACCAGTCAACTGGCGGAGCCAGGCGTTCTGAAAGCATATCAAACTACGCTGGCCTCTGGGCTAAGCAGGCCCCCACTGAACACCGTTGAAGATCACTGGTTGCATACTTGTCGAACGTTGTTATCAAGGGGCATGACTTCATGTGGCAACTCAAATTGTCAACCTGGACATTGGTTCTCTACACAGTCTCTGGAATTTATGGATGTTCGCCGACGTATTCTGGCTAGAAGCGAGTGCAATGAGACTAGCAAAATATTTCAAGGCGAAACGGCGTGCTAGCCTGATGAGAGACCACGAAACCTGGTGGTCTCAGCGTGTATCAGAAATAGAAACAGCCGCTGCCGTTGGTAATCATCGCAAGTTATTCAGTTTGATACAGGAACCAGACAGCAGAATATCTGGTGTTAGCGAGACAATACGCGAAGAGAGTGGACAGCCGATGCACAGCCTGTCAAAATGCATTGAGCTTTGGACCGAGCACTTTGCAACGCATTTTAACCAATCTGAGTTATCGCTTTCTCTCCCGGGTATTGAGTGCCCTTCTCCATGGGCCATCTCCGTCGATCGGCCTTCAAGCGCAGAAGTCGAACATGAGATCAGATTGTTGCAATAGCGTAAGACCACAGGGGCAGATAGAATTCGTCCAGCCCTCTTCAAATTTGAGGGACCTGCTTTTGTGGATGATTTACACGAGTTGCTAGTGAAACATTGGGAGCAGGGAACTGTCTCGACAGATTGGAGCTTCTACGTTATAGTCTAAATTTTTTGAGAGGTTCGCGTTCGGAATGCGGCAGTCATAGAGGCATTAGTCTGATCTCAGTTGCCACAAAATTGCTTGCCTCTGTCGTTTTTCACAGACTGACTGGCGCGCGTGAATGCCTGATCCGGAAAAAGCAAGCCGGATTTGGTCGAGGTCGGGGCTGCAACGACCACATTTTCACTTTGCGTCAATTTTTGGAGCATCGTCATGTTTATTGGCGACCCACCGTTTTCACGTTTTTCGACATAAAAGGTGCTTTCGATTCGGTTGATCTATGTGTCCTTTGAAACTATCTGTTGAGCGAAGGTGTGCCCAATGACTACGCTAACATTATCCAAGCGCTGTACGCGCATAGTTCAGGCAGGGTAAGGGCTTACGGCAAACTGTCACCACTCTACAATATCTCCAGTGGTGTTACACAAGATGGTCCGCTGTTATCTTTCCTCTTTAACTTCGCTATTGACGAAGTCATGGGAACAGCGTTCGCTGGACACGACTTAGAAGGTGTGGAGCTACTTGCTGGTGAGCGACTTCTTGACTTGGATTACGCGGACGATATTGATCAAATTTTTGACATCTCCCAAACGTGCCAAGCTGCAATGGGCCGATTAGCACTGGCTGTCAATCGTTTTGGGCTATGCTTCTCTTCATCGAAATGCAAAGTATTTGACCAAGGTTGGCAGGAATCCACCCCTGCATTGATACTTGTTGGTTATCAGCTGGAAGTCATTCAGAAATTCAAGTAGCTTAGCAGCTATGTTGGCGCCCAATGGGGTCAAATGTGAGATTACGAAATGTATAGCCAAATTTCGAAGTGCTTTTTTCAATTCCCCCCAACGGTGTCGCCGGCGTGATTTACCTCTTGCCCTGAAGGACAGCGTTTATACTGCAGCCGTCCGTTCAACCCACTTATATGGTTGTGAATCCTCGCACATCAGGTCGACAGACATAAAGAGGTTAGTCACGTTCGACCATCGCTTCCTCTGCAGCTTAGCTCATGTCTGGTGGGAGCACCGCGTGAGCTATGAGCGTGTTCGGCATTGGGTATTTGGTGCGGAAAGTGGCAGTGAACTATTCAGCGTTATTAGATCATGCACCAGGCTCCGATGGCTGGGCCACCTGTTGCGCATGCCAGCACATCGAGTCCCGTGACTTGCATTGTTTGCGCGTTGGGGTTGCGGATGGAAGAGGAGGAGGGGGCCAAACGATGACTTGGTCGAGAGAAATGAAAACCTTCACTACGAAGTTAACGTCGGTTGGTGCATGCTGACTGCCTGGCTGGGGTCCCAAGTACGATGAACACGTTTGGTTGGACACACTTGCTGATATGTCGAAGAGCCAGCCGCAAAGGCGTTTACCTTGTGAGTTTCCTTGTCCATCCCCCTTCAGCTTAGCCTCCCCATCCAATCACGATATCATTCGTTGGGCAGAGTAGAACTCTTCTTGTTGCGGCAAAATAGGCGGTGGTCAGCTCTGCGGAACAATGTCCATCCATTACTGGGTACGCAGCAGCAGTGCCTCAGTTGCGTGTTGCTTTCCTTTCTTTTGTATCGCGGCTACTGAGCTGATGTGTTTATCACCTGCAGCTAACGTGTATAATTCTGACAATGATGATGATGGTTTACTGAGCGCATGAAGAGTACGCCAGTCGCCAAATATTTACATTTCTAATGTTCACATCAGCCGCAAACGCAATACAATTAGGAAGCGAACAGAAGCGAAAATGTGAAATCCATACAAAATGGTTTGCAATCAGATGGCTGACACAGCGCAGAATTTGATGTACATCCAACGCACACAGTTGAGGTACGAAATAGTGCAATGCATGTTTGGTGGTGCAGCTGCTTTCGGACTGTCGGCTATAAAATGTGATTCATCCGTGGTAGACTTATCGCTATCCCTGAAGTCCGCATGCCGGTAGTAAGAGTGAAGTGAGAACCGCGTAGTCCCTCGAGCAAAGTTAGCAACTAGATATTGATGTTCGGCTTTTTGCTCTTTCATTAATCCTTCATTACCGTATACCGAATTTTGAATAAATAAATTCGGTCTTCATCTAAACGCTCCAGCTATTTGGGGGGGGGGTAATACAATGCTGCTACGAAACTATGACAAGCCATTCCGTTTCTTCAACGGAATCATAAGCTATCCTATTGTGTTCTACTAGGACAATGCGGAAAGGAGAAACGCCACTTTGCTGTCGAACTGAGAATCACGAGATGTGTCCTTCAGCTTGACCCATGCTAAAGGTTACCCTAATTGCGCTGCTTATTGAAAGAACTCGTGATTAAACAAAATAACTTAGGGTGTCATGAGAACCTACTCCAATGTGACTTAATCGAATCCCGTCAGTATGACTATTTATAGGTCAAAAGTAACACAACCATTTTCGTCTAAATGTTGATGATAGTTCTGTGTCTGCTTCTGGCTGTGGCGGCCACCGCAGGCCATTTCGGGCCCCCATGGCACGTGCATGAATCGCCGTATTACCACAATCTACCGGCTCCGCATTCACATGCACGTGCGTATCACAGCCTACCGATGCATGCTCATGCAATGGTACACTATCACATGCCGTCGCACTTTCCTGGGCCCATGAACCACTACATTCCAGCGCACTACCATCCGCATTCTCCACTGCACGGTACGCCCTTCGGATGGAGACCACCTTCAATACACTTCAAGCATTACTACAACACACAACTACCTGCTTCTGCTTTCAAGCGGCCTTACAAACCTCTAGATCAAATACATGCACTGGACACCGATCAGTACATGTGGATTGATGACGGCAAAGGTGAACGAATCGAGGCAGGAAGGCAGCGGTCAAGCATCGGTCTATCGAAATATCGCAATGGGCTGTCTAAGGGAGGGGATTGGAAACTGATAGGAAAAGAGAGGATTTACGGGCAGTATCATAAGAAGAAGCGAAAGCCAATCTATAGCTCGTACTTTGAACTACCTATCTACGACGAGAATGATTACCGGCCCATACGAATGCAAAAGCGAGAGAAGTACCGATCCAAACTGAAGTTTAAGCACATGCCCACCTACCATGAGGACTTTGAAGACTGGGATTCCGTCTTGTATAATGATAAAACCGGATGGACCGTTCTGAAGAAGCCACGTAAGAAATCGACGGGATTAGACAGAAAACGAATACAAGTTTCCTACACGCGATTAGAAAGACATGACAAATGTGCGAGGCGTTCATCTTGGCAATCCACTGAAGGATGCTATCGGAAGAGGCCAGCACCGAAACGCAAGCGACATGTCTGGCACCCTGGACGAAAGTATGAAGTAATCGAGGAGAGGTACGTCGAGGACGAGCTAGAGGATACGTATGACAAGTATTTACTCTTGGATAAGGGCGATAGGGTGGTAATAGTTCACCCCAAGAAATCTTATTATTACTCATAGAACTGCACACTACATTGGCCAATCACCAGCGTGTATCGAAGAGTGACCAGTTCCCACTCCACAATTAGTTGTAAATAACAGCCTGATCCGTGAAAGGTACAATGTTAAATGCATATACCTTTGCTTTTAACAGTATAATATTTTTTTATTATACTGGGTGAAACTTTTTGCGATTGATACATAGAACACTGATGCAGTGGAACATTAATTTTTGACGAAAAGTCGCTGACGCCTTGTTATTTTTTAGTGAAACACGTAAGTTGTAAACTGTTGCGCTTCTACACACGTTGCCACCAAAAAGATGTGTGGGTGACCTACGTTCAATCATTTTTCAAACCATACCAGACTGTAGCTAGAGTGCATTTAAAAGATACACTCGTAAATGTCTTTTCTTGCCACCTACACTTCTGACAACACAAGTCATGGGCGAGTGTAAACTTGAACTTTATTGGACGGCAGAATGGAGGGTGCAATGATCTCCCAAGGCAAGCGCATGAGGTGCTTGTGTAATACAATACAAGGTAGATGATGCATGCGGGTAGAGAGTAGTCTACTCATCGGGCAGTTTAACAGGTCTTATTGCCGTGTTGCCTGAATCTTGAACGGATGAACGAGGATGATTTGACTTGTCCCTTGAATTTCCAACCACTAGCCAATAGCCATCAAACGGCCTGACTTTAAACGTAACAACACACCAGTTGTATTGTACGTAAAAGTCAATATGCCAGAACACTTTGTGAAGATCTGGTACATAAACTTCTGGTCTATGTAAACGACAGGCGACCTTCTCGTGCTCAGATCATGTGAGCTATCAGTAACCGTCCTTCTGTTTCAGAACATCGTTTAGTGGTATAATCATCTCGTACTACCAGATTTTGAAGTTTCGCATCAGTACGGTTGAAATATCGAGCACTTTGCAGTAACTACCTACGCTGGATTTTGTGGCTCTCGAAATATCCTACCAATCAGTGGGAGTGTTTTATACCTAAAGGGAAACATTTGGAGCCGATCCCTTGGACTCACTTGACTAGATATCACTTTACGCGGAACACAGAGTGTCACTGTACCGACTGTTCTTGTCACTAACTTCGTTTGGTGATTAACCTCTAAATGAGTTATTGGGGTAATTGATGCTACTTAGTAGGGAAAACCGACTCATGGTATTACAATATCGGTGGATGGGATCTAGAAAAACACACTGGATTCGTTAGAGGCAAAGAACCGTCGATTGAATCGACCTGATTCGTTCTCTGACACCGAACGAGCTAGCTATAACTTTTCGTGAGATAATAATACACCCGCTTTCCGAAAGTCCTTGGTTCTTGATAAAATACAGATCTACTGATGTTACAACCAAAGGCCAAATTGCAAACTCCAGGAAGAATTTTCTCTCCAGTCTAAACGATTGTGTTTAACCTCACTTAAAATCAGCAGGATCACAAACCATTTCGTTACTTGGTGAGACCTTGACCTATTTGTCATGTCCACCTCTCCAGTAGACAATGTTTTCAAGCACAATCGTGCTGAAGAAAATAGCTTCTTGGGGGATCGGCTCCTGGTTCGAGTGCATTCAGTTATGTAACTTCTGCGTGTATCTGTAAGGAGAATGTGACCCACCTCAATAGTTCAATAGTGTATGATGGGATAAAAAGCATAACTTTACAAGACCCACTGGATGGATATGCAAAAGAAAAGTAAAATCAAAATGTTCCCATGTGGAAAGTGAAGCATCATTGGTTAAACCATTACACTGTTGTGCAGCGTTTATCACTAAGATGAAAGTCTAAGAGTCTTTCGAATGTCGTCATGTCTGGTGGGTTCACCACATATCTTGGTAATGCATTCCAGTGAAAACAGATTCTAAGTGAGTAAAAACACTTTCTACAATTCAGACGGGAGAGTTGCGTCATTAGTTTCAGGTGGTTGCCTCGGCTTTGTTTGTAAGGGGCTAGAGTCAACAGTGATGTATATGGATGCTGGATTTCAGTTAGTATCCGGTATGTGAGAGTAAGATCTCCGCGAAGTCATCGGTATTCTGATGAGCACACATCGAGTGCACGAAGACGCAGTTCGTAACCTAGACCGCATAGTCCACGCGTTGCTTTTGTCACTCTTCTTTGGGGTTGTTCCAATAGGCGAATGTCTCATTTTAACCATGGACACCAGGCCTGAATTGCATATTCAACGTGAGGGCGAAGGTAGGAGTTAAGCAGCAATGGTACTGGCCGTCGCTAAAAAAGTGCGAAGAGCTCGCTTCAAAAGTCTCAAGTTCAAGTTCCCCACACTTGCTGCTTTCGAACATTGGAGCGAATTGCGAAGACTCTCTTGCACGATTATGCCTAAGTCGCGTTCACTAGTCACGTGTTGCAGGACGTGTTGCCCCAAAAGGTATGTGTTGACAAAGCTGCTGCGCACCGTCAGCAGGCGGGGTTTTGCAGGATTCAATGGGAGCTGGTTTGCTTCTTCCCATTCGTTAATCCGAGTCAGATCTTCCTGGAGGTAGACACGGTCGGATGCTGAGCGAATTGCTCTCCATATTTTAGCATCGTCTGCAAATATTTGCATCGCTGATAGAAAGTCTGCTGAAAGCTCATTAATGTAGACTAACAACAGTAGCGGGCCGAGGACGGATCCTTGTAGTACACCACTGGAGACGCACAGGCTTGCCTAGTGAGTGTCGGCTACTCTTACCTTGATTGCTCTGTCGTGTAAGTAGTCTTCTAACCAGGTGAGCAGGGAACCGTTGATACCATTGATAGCGTAACGTTATTCCGTTCAACCCCTCTACATATTAAGGGCGCCTGTAACCGATGACTCCGCATGCATTTATTGAAATGTTAACCATGAATCTAAAGACACATTTCGTTCTATCTGGAGGAAAACAGTTCATTCCATTCCTTTCATGTGCTCTTTGTGTTCTTTCGCTTGACAATGGTTGACGGGTTTCTGAATTGCTAAGCCCAGTTTTTGACCGATGTTTGCAGTTGAGTGTATCTTTGTGATCTTGCCGAAATAGACATCTCGCATCGGGTTCATCTATGTAACTAGTTGTTAGTAGCAAAACGACGGTTCCTTCACATTACCTGCGGGACTGAACAATGCAGCTTTTTATCCTTACTACTACTGTGGAGTTGCTCATGGACTTAAACTCGAAGCTTCAGTTAAATTGGTTATGCACCGAAAAATTGTTTCTAGTACATCCTCGCAATCGGAAGTCCGGTTCAATTGGTTGAATGTGTTTGAAGCAAAGTTCACCTACTGATGGCAATACTCTGAAGAGGACGAGTCAATGCATTTAGGTTTAGAGATCAGCGATTCAGCACTCACAAATAGCGTTTATCCAAAGGATTTCTGTAGCCAATACCAGTAACGGAACTGTAACTCCAAAACTATCTTAAACAAAGAAAGACAAGCTGACATTTGTCCAGGAGTTTCAGAGTAATAATGAGTAAAACATTGAAGCGCATAACTAGGGAGGTTGAATCTGTATTGATGAAGTACTTCCCACTAACATTATGGTCGGAAATTCAATATCAATATTACCTTCACGTTCTGGTTACAAGTGAGGTAGTCCATCGATAGTGAGCCTCATGCGTCAATGCAAATATGTGGTAATAACCTACGTTGGAAACAGCACTGAGTTGCACATCTGGAAACAGCTATTACCCGGTAGAAACTTACCAGTATAACAGTCAAACAAGGACGCATGGTGGCGATCCCAGCAGAGTGTACTTTCGAGACGAACTGCAGTGGGCCCAGTTGAAACACGCACGCACTACAGTTTGGCAACCACACAATCGGACGTTTCAACATCAGTCAACGGAAGATGAATGCCTCCGTTTGAGACGAAGCAAGGACTAAAAATTGCATTCTGTGACTTAACGGCTGGTAGCCGATTTCAATGGAGTTAATGTAGTCTCACATCTGATGTTAATGCAAACGAATTGGTGAATTACATTCGGGATGCTCATTTGTCTGTTTTTAATGTATCAGGCATTTCCATGTACGGTCAATGGTTTAATACGTTACTCTTCAACGTATTGGGACCCTACTCTAACGACCAGAATGTAAACAACAAGACGCAAAATCTATCCTTGTTCACGGTGTTCCCGAACTCCAGTCACTAAGCGAGCTAGAGGTCAAAGCGCATGACTGGGATGAATGAGGTTTTATTTGTTAAGTGCTCTCACTCAAAATTTTGTCCCTATTTCGGCATCAAGATTACCGCTATCACCTAACTACAAAGGGTGTGATCCCCGTGTGATGAAAGTATCATTGCACTCCGAACTGATGACAGAACATGTGATCAAAATGTGGCACAAAAAGCGTAAAATGCTGCCATCTGAAATACATATAAAGGTGATAAGCACCGGGCCATAGATAGACAATGTAACTCTAAGCAAGCAAGTTACCAATACAATTCTGTGACCGTGTAGCTCAGAACGAATGCAATGCCAAAACACACCGACAGCTGAAGGAGGACAGGATGGTCACCCTTTTGTTGGCGCTGAGAGCTCCATACAACAACCTGAACTGGCCCTAGGGCCTGCGTCATCGGCCTTACAAAAAATCGACCGGCAGCCGACCCAGCAAGGGGCGGCATAAACCCTCACCGGAAATCATCAATCACAAACACGCTTCTGACCACCGATACCCTCACCTGCTTGTATACCAATACACGAGGTCTTCTCAGCAAGCTAACCGAGATTCACCTGCGTCAGGTCTCCACGCCTTGGGACCTAGTTATGGTCACCGAAACATGGCTGAACCCGGAGATTACGGATGCTGAGATTGCACTACCCGGCATGCTATCCATACGAAACGATCGACCTAGCAGAGGAGTGTGTGTGCTCCTGTAGTCTCGATTCGACATGTATGTTGATGTCATTGAGGACCCAGAAACAAATGTCGTCGACGCTCTTTGGTGTCGTATGCACCTAAGACGTGATGTGTGTTTACTAGCAGTAGTTTACCACCCTCCAATGTCCACCTTGGACATT